CTCCTCCCGCGGGATGCGCGGGACAGACGCCCAAGCGCGCGGCCTGAGGACCACGTTGTGCTCGGAGGCCGTTTGTGGAGCTGCTGGGGGGCCTCAGTTTAGTTTCTCGAGACTTTTTTCATTTTCCCTCTTCTTTCTGGGAGCCCCCTGCTTGTTTGGAAGCTCTTTGCAAAACCCGACTTTACTTTCAGCATTGTGGGCTCCGCTGTGAAGGACCTGCCTTGCTGGGGGGACCAGCCCACAGGAGCCGCTTCCCTGTGCTCCCCTTTCTCCAGCAGCTTCCCAGCAAATCCCGTTTCAACGAACGTGGGGATCAGCAGTGGAGACGGAGCCGAACGAGCTGCTGTCCCCTGTAGCCTCGCGCGTGCAGCAGGACGTGCTCCCTGGGACGTGGATTTGTCCCAGGAGCTCTGGCCGGGGGAGAACGGGACGTTTCCCAGGGAAAGGTCTCCAAGGGAGGGCTGCAGCCTCCGCCGGACTTTCCTGCCTGCTTTTCAGTAAAATAAAAACCTCTTACACGGCACCGGCCCTTTATTTTCGTTATGGTACCGAGAGCCTCCGTGCGGGGTCTGTTGTGTGAATCCCTGTTCCCAATAGAAATGCCCACGTCGCTGCCCATGTCCATCTGGTCTCTCCGCTCGGTTCTGCCCGGGATGGGCTGCACGGGGCAGGCGCTGCCGCGTTCGGATGCTCCTTGGAGCTTCTCCCCTGCTCGCGCCTGCCCCAAACAAGGAGCTGATGGGCAGGAAGAGCTGGGGCCGCTGAGGCTGCTTTGGGACAGGGCTCCGGAATGCAGGGAGCTTTGCCAGTTCTGCAGGATCCCCGTGGAGAAGGGGAAAGGCCCCAGCTCCTGTGGGAGCAGAGGCCTCTGTGTGCGGAAACGGCTCCTGCGATGGCACCAATCCCGATGCCAAAACCAGGGATGGGGACACGGGGGGGACACGGAGCTGGGGGAGGCCCCGGGGACGGTGTCCGGGTCCGCACGAGGCTCCGAGGCGCAAACAGCCCCGGGGAGCATGATTAACTTTGTCTTGGAAAATAGGTGACTGTTTTTC